TTCTATTAACATTCGATGCGGAATAAAATAAAATTGAATTCAATTTTAAATAGGAAAATGCTTTTATGCCAGGCCTGTAAAAGGCCTGGCAGTGTTGAGCACTCACATGAGGTGTGTCCTCGGGACCCACCTCTATTAACCCCCCCCCCCCACCCCCATCTCACAATTTGAAGGCCTGGCACAGCAGCATGATCCTTTTAAATATAAATATCTTTTATTTCANGAATTCCATTTAAGGTAACTATACTTTCATTCTAATTCAATCAGGTGACTTTCAATCGTGTAATTATATTTTAATATGATTTGAATAGGGTAGCTATACATTAATTTGATTTCAATTAAGATAACTTTGCCCAATTCCACTAACGAGTAACGACAATCGATGACGTGGCTGTCAATAAATGATGATTATTACACATAAACCGTTACTTTTAGGCATGAAATAAGTACAAATTCTTTGAAATGATAGGCATCATTTATTAACTGTTTTCTTCGATTTTCGTTAGTCCCAAGTGATGGAATTAGATGGGATTTTCTTATTGAAATCAAATTAAAGTATAATTATTTAATGAGTAATACTATTAGTATATCATTGTGTACACAATGGATGACATGAGAGAGAGAGAGAGAGAGAGAGACGAAAAGAAAAAAAACTCAGTTATTATAATATTTATATCTTCCATTCTATCTATATGTACACAATTATGTACATAATGATGTACAAATATTATTAATCTTATTCAATTGAACAAAATTAAGTACTATTACTTGATTGAAATAGAATTTAGTATAGATATCGCAAATGACATTTACCCAATTTCCCCGTAGTCTTTTGTTTTGCTTTAAATGGCATTAGCATATTACGAAACTAGTTGTCCCAAATAGTAAAAGAAAAAATATAGAACACGCTCTCCAAAGTAGGGCAGGGTAGGGCTGTAAATGGATCGGATATGCCTATATCCGATCCGATTCGATAAGAAAATTATTCGATTCAATCTCATAATCCTACGGATATTTGATTATTAAATTCATATCCAATTTGTTATATTATCGGATATTCGATCCGAAATTAATGAAAATTAGGAAAAAAATCAATGTTCTTTAAAAATTTTTTAACTAATTTGAGGCCCACATGTTTTTACTAACAACTCCAATAGTGACTTCTACTATCATGATGTTTCTTTTTAAAGAAGAAAACATCTTTTCGTTTTCTATTAACATTCGATGTGGAATATAATAAAATTGAATTTCAATTTTAAATAGGAAAATGCTCTTATGCCAGGCCTGTAAAAGGCCTGGCAGTGTTGAGCACTCACATGAGGTGGGTCCTCGGGACCCACCTCTATTAACCCCCCCAATGTTAAACACCCACCCCCATTTCACAATTTGAAGGCCTGGCAGAGCAGCATGATCCTTTTAAATATAAATATCTTTTATTTCATTATTTTCATTAACAAATCAAATTATTACATATTAATTTTTGAAATTATAAAATAAATTAGAATAAAAAATTTAATTAAAAAATATATATAAATATTTATTTACTTTAAATTAGTAAACTGAAATAAAAAAAAAAACTATTGTTTTTATAATATTTTTACATTTATGTGTATAATTATTTATTCAATTTGACAACCGGTTCGATACCGATTCAACCTCGATTCGACTTTTTGACCCTTGACCCTCTTCCTTTTTCGAGTTGATGTCTGTGTCGATTTTTAAAACATTAGTTGAAATCAATTTTTTTCCCAAAATTTCCAATTGTTAAACATGTTTAATAATTATAAATTTTTCAACTTTTTTATATTTTGAATTTGATTACTTTTTTATTCTAAATTTATTTATTTTCTCATTTATTTATTTTAGTGACAAATAATATGTCATAAAAATATTTTACTGACTTAATTATTTATAACAATTCGGATCAGATTGTTATCGGATCGACTCATCGACCTATATCCATATTTGATCCATTTAATTAACGGATTATCAGATTCGGATCTTGATCGGGTTATCGGATTGGATCCTAAATCTATCTCCTATTAATTTCGTCGAATTCGGATCAAAATACAATGCATTGATAGCCCTAGGACAGGGTATGTGTTGGGTTGGATTGGTTTTGAGTCTAACCAAGCTCAACCCAATATGTTTGGTTTAACAATAATTCAAATCGAAACCAACTCATTCATGGTTGAAACCCAACCCAATCCAACCGACCAATTCAAATTGGACAATTTTTTATGGGCCCAATGGTTGAGACCTTTTTTGTTGAGTCTGGACAATTTTTTTAAAGTTTGATACCATCAATTTGGACAATTTTTAATTACATTAAAAATGGTGATTTGAAAGACTTTACGTTGATTGAAGTTGGATCAATAGTTCTTGGGGTTAAGTTGCATTCCAATAGAACAATATAAATTTAAAATATTGTAAAACATGTTAAATAGATTATACCATGATACATATTAAATCAATCTAAATATATGTTGAATACCTGCATATTATACCATTGAATAAAATGAATTCAACATAAATACTAAAAATGTTAAATCATCCAAACTAAATACAAAATCTCCTATTTCAACCCAAGTGTTTAGTCAAAAATCAAGTCAACAAATCGAGTCGAGAAGTTGAGGCACGAGCAGCAATGAGAGACAGAAGAGACATGAGGCAGAGGAGAATTTTCATCATTATGTTTTTGGTTTTAGGTTCTAATTTTCTTTTTAATATTTTTTTAATTTATTGAGTTAGGTTATGTTTGATTGGGTTTTAATAGATAGCCCGGAATCTAACTCAACCCGACAAATTTTTTGATTTTCTAACCCGAACCCAACCCAACCCAACTCAACCCAATTGAACTAAAAAACCAATCCAAACAGATTGGTTTGAGTTAGGTTGACCGATTTGACTGATTCGAATTGATTTTTGTGCAACCCTACTCCAAAGGAGTTATGGTACTATCTTTTATTCAGGAAGTGAAAGACTCTTCAAGACCTTAGAAGTGTGACAATTTATATCAGCCAACTGACAATAATCTCTAGTCATGTTTGGTATATAATATTAAATAATGTTGCACAATATAATAAACAAGACTCGAACACACTATAAGTTACATAAAAAAATTCAAAGATTTATCCATAGAAGATAACTTCGAAATAATCGCCACATCTCCTAGGATATTCCGACACCCATGTTTCCTCATGTCCGAAAGTCCTAGCCGTATGGAAGCCAACAAGAGTTTTAGTAGATAAATTATGATAATGGAGCCTTAATTTTCTTTAATTGAAAATAAGTAAGATTTCCTAGTTAGATGGCATTGTTGCATTAGTTCCAATATGGGCTGGAATTCTATTCTCTGCAAACATCATTTGTGTATTGGAATTTACATTAAAAAAATACAAATAAGATTGGATTAAGATGCCACGTACCCCACAGTTACAACTTTTAACTTCAATGGATCTTTTTCGTCCTTAGTTGTGGTCTCGTTTTCAGCTTCATTTTTATAAAAGTTATTATATGAAGGATGAATTATGTAATTTTGAAAATAACGAATAAGATTTTTCGTCTAACTTAGTCATGTAGACATGGATGAATAAAATAACAAGTACTTGAACGATGTAACAAACTACCTCAGGCTCATATAATGGGACATATTATATGTCAAGTTTTATAATTAATTCTTATCCAATTTTATTGTTACTTCAAGTGCAAAACGTTAATATAGCTCGTGATTAATGAAAATTTACAAGTATATCTAATATTTCATGTAATGAACATACGATATAATACGCGTTATGCCCGTGCCCCACAGTGAGAAGCCAAGTGGGCTTCATGGCCTCTCTGGGGCTAGGACTCCGAGCCTTTCCTAGGAACCGCCACTTCTGGCCTCTCCAAGGAGGCTTCCCTCCTAGGAGTTGCCTCTTTCTGGTCGCCTCTCCTAACTCTCTTAGTAGATATTTGTCCCGAACCGCCTCCGAGCCTTTCTAGGAGCTACCTCTTCCGGGCTGCTTATTTGGATCGCCTACGAGTCACCTCTTCTTCATTTCGAAGCAACAAGGAGAGACCCAATCCTAGTCGTGTGAAGGCCACTTTGATCCGGGCTATTGAGGTCACATCCCGATACTTTGTGCAAGTTGCAATTTGACACCTTAAGCCACGCGTAATTTGATTGATGTGATATTTCTATAAGGGCGATTGGAAGTCAAATTTCATTTTTTCGAACAATTTTAGGATGTCACAAGCATATAATGGTTTGGATATGACGTTTTGACAACTGTCAGTTATCTGAGAGACTTCAAATTCATTCATTTTTTTTATAAATACTCACACTTGACTATATTTGAAGGTAATTGCAAATTGGTATTTCTCAATCTAGAACTCCGAACTCTAATCTCACACTTTTTTCTCCTTCGTGTTTCTCCCAAACCAAAAGTATCTATCCATTTATTGGTTTGAGCATCGAAGTGCATACGATCGCGACCATTCCCGTCTTTGTTCAGAGAAGCCTAGATGTGTGTCTTTAACGCTTATGTTCAAATGTACATATTGTGCAGGGATAGAAGAGAAGTATAGATATATTGACACCGAGTCTCAATCAAATATACACGAGTCAACAATACGTGTATAATAATTAAAGAAGATAAGGTGGAGAGGTTTCTTTTAACATGTAGTGAAAGATGACTCATATGTAATCTATCACCACAAGGAGAAGGAATCTTACCTAAATGCTGTCCAAAAATGAGAAGACCTCTACATGTTGAAAGGACAACAAATAACATATTTTCTTAAAATATTACTATTAATATTTTTACTTCTTTATAATTTATCCCCATCATCTAATCAATAACAAACAACATGTTAACGTAATTACCTTATTCTTATTGTGGTCCTTTCATGGTTTGTCTTTGTTAAATTTAAAAAATATATTAAAATTTTTTTAGAAGAATTATTCCCTATTTAAAAATAATAATAATATTTTGAGCATATATTCAGTGAGAATAATGATAAGAGGAGAAGAATCCAATGGTGCCGTGCAGGAACCTCCCCTTTCGCGGAAACACGGAGCCGCTCTTGCCCAACACTTTGGAACCACTCCAATGTCATGTCGAGTCAGCCTCCATTATAACAATTAAAAATCATTGAGAAAAACTCAGTCTCGAACCATGGTTAAGTTAAAAGAAAAATACATACAGACTTCCTATATTTTCCAAAAATTAAAGAAGTCTCCTTTGTAGCTAATTCTTCTTAACATTAACAAAAAAATATTATTTTTCGATACTCTTATTACTCTATATTTGAATTATACTTTCTTTTCGTTTTCTTATTTATTAAGAATATATTTCCATGCTTTAGTAACATTTTCTCTTTTTTATTTTTTTATTTTAACATCTGTACCATGTTAAGTTTAGAAAATTAAAATAATACTCTCGTGAACTAAAATTGCATTAAAGTTGACCTCAAAAGTTTAAAGCTTAAACTCCCTCGTATGTAAATATATTAGGCCCCTGTTTGATAGTGATTTTAATTGAGATTTTTATCAAAATCAAAATCAACAATTAATTTTAAGAACATATTCGTGTGTTCTACATTTTTGTAGCCACATATATCATCATTTTTTTTAAAAAAATCAAAATCTGCTAAAATTTTGATTTTAATCTCCTCCAAATAAAGGCTAGATAAATTTTAATTTATGTATCATTTTTTGTGAATTCTAAAACATGAGGGATGTCTCCGTATTTGCGAGAAATTCCAAGGGAGGTTCTTTTAATTTACTCAAAATACAAGCTACACTAACCATAGTTTACTCCACTCCGATGCTACCTTCTATATATCTCTAGCCTTCCACTCTTTCAACTCTCCTTGGAAATTTTCTCTCTCTAATTCTTGCTTTTGTTTCTCTCTCTAGTTTGAGAAATTTGCAAATCCCATTCGATCATTTGAACTTTGATGTGCCTAAGAAAATGAGTTGCAATGGCTGCAGAATTCTTCGTAAAGGATGCAATGAAAATTGCATTCTTAGACAAAGTTTACAGGGCATAGAGAGCTCACAAGCACAGGCCAATGCCACTGTTTTTGTTGCTAAGTTTTTTGGCCGTGCTGGTCTCATGTCCTTTCTATCTTCTGTCCCCGAGTCTCAAAGACCAGGTATCGTTACACCATTTCATCTAAAAGTTTAAGCTAAATCTGGTTTGTACGTGATATGCACTTATTGTTTGCTGATGAAATTTTCTATTGCAGCGTTGTTGCAATCTTTATTATTTGAAGCTTGTGGAAGAACGGTAAATCCAGTGAACGGAGCAGTGGGATTACTGTGGACGGGGAACTGGCAGGTTTGCCAGTCGGCAGTGGAGACGGTGCTGAGAGGCGGCGTTTTGCGGCCCTTGCCAGAATTTTCTCAGTCGCCGGAGTTTGATGAAGGATCAGAAGCTAATAACACTGATTTATACAGATCGCAAGATCTAAACTTGAGGGTTAAAAGGAAAGGTTTTGATGATGACCTGAGTCTTGGTCTGACAGTGGGTTTTCCAAGGAAAAAACGGCTGAGCGAGGAACGGCGGCCGGATTCTCCGTCTGACGAGTCTGAAATGACGACGTTGGAGAGTGGTCTTCTGTGTAATCAAGAGTTGCAACAAAATCACCATCGACAGGAATCAAAGCTTCTGAGACTATTTTTCTAAGCTTTTTTATTCTGTTTTCACCCTTCAATTATTTTCTTTCTTTCTTATTTTTGTGTTTTTGGGCACTTGATTTCTCAATTTTGGAGTGAGGAAGAACTTTGAAGAAACACAGACTAATGAGAATTGCATTGTGTCTGAATTTCAGAATCTGGGTAAAGATATTGTAAAATTCTACTTGTACATCAACTTTTGTACATAAGGAGCTACATCCCCTCACATGCGAGTGGGACTCGTTGCATAAAATATTTTTTTATTTAAACGAGTCTCATCCCCATGTGAAGAGAGTGTACACCCCGATGTACGTTGTGATATACAAGTAGCATTGGCCAAAGATATTAAGATGGTGCAAATATTGACGTTTTTAATAAATTCGAAGTCATCCGCGTAAATTATTTGTACGCAGTAGAAATACTACTTCTAAAATTAAGAAATTAGGATGAAAGTAAAATACTAAGTGCTTGTTTGGTAAGAATTTTTGGAGGAAGAATTGATTTTTAAATAATGATATGATGGAAATTTGTATGGTTGAAAAAAGAAGAAAAATTTATTGATGTGATGGAAAATATTATTTTATTGAATAATGTGTGGTTGAAAATGAGAATTGATTTACTGTAGAATTTGAGAATAAAAAACAAACAGGTCCTAATACTTATTCTGAAATTAAGAAATTATTTTTGAACCATAATTTTTTGAAAGAACTTTATCTATTAGAAGAATTTTTGAAAAAAACCTAACGTAACTTTTTCATAAAGCTATTCTATGAAAAGCAAAAATTCTGTCAAACATATCCTTAGCTTCTTCATAAAACAAGAATCACTTTTTCTATAATAAGTTGAATGATATGGGGTCCCCCATTCATCAGCCACCCGCTTTGAGGCGCTGCGTATAATGCGTTTCTTTTGGTGGGCCCATTACTTAAATGACCTATTCACCCTTAACCAGTGGACTCTTTTCAATGGGAGAAATGGAGGACCATAGCCATAAATTCCTGGGCAAGAAAAATCACCATTTATGAATTTTGAATACAAATGTAAATTTCTTTTTATCATACTGAATTATTGCAGAGACGAAAGAAGACATAATCTCACATTAAGATGAATCTCTATAAATTTTGCACGTTCTTGTGTGTCTATTTTCTTTAGGCAATTTCATTGCTTCATGTGACATATAATTTAAATTACATTTTCTACTTCTCAACAAGTTTACATGTTTACCAGGCTCTAAATGAACCAGCTTATCAGAGCTCCATTTTTACATTTGCCTCCAAAACCAAGTGATTGGAGTTCGACTACAAAATAAATTCAAATCTTTTCTTAAGTTAATAAAACTTTTTAATGTGAATGGATATAACATTTCTAAAGAAAAGAAAGAAGACTTGTGTAATTATTTATGGGTTCATAGACCAGAAGACAGTGAACACTGCCCAGTCAATTGTTTTGACTTTTTGTCTTGTTTATACTGCCCGGCGGGTGAGGTCTCTCAACTATACAGCACAACTTGTACCTCAAGATGGGGGTGGGTAGGGTAGGGTAGGGTGGGGTGGGGGCATAAAAGCATAATAAGAGGGAAGACGAGAAGAATTACAAATAAAATAACTATATTCCAAGATTTTGGGTTACCAGTTGCAATGTCCCATGCATAAAACACAGAATCCTATGGCTATTTGTGTGTGTGTATTCACAGTGTGAATTCTTTAAGACTTCAAGGGGACATTGATCTGGAGTCGACCAGAGGTCAAAAAGAAGAGAAATAAACATGTATGTTACCTACGAACTCTGAATCGTAGAGACTAATGACACACTTGTCAAAAGCTAAAACACCTAAAAAATGCATCCTGCCAATTACAATTTAATGTAAAAACACATTCAGATAGCACTAAGATTAGAACAAGAACAGGTTAATAACGGTGTAACTAGGATGATATTACATTATTTACACCAGTTTTTCATTTTCCTTGACAAGCAGAAAAACTAAGAAAAAGAAGGAGAGACTGTACAACTAAGTGGTAAGAATGAAATATAATTTCCTGTAACATTGGATACCTGGATGGATTACAGAGGACTGAAGCATTCACGTGTTAAAAAAAATCCCGTATGAAATTCCGAGTCTAGTCAGCCGTTCCATTCTGACATCAACGAATGCTACCTCCAGATAGTTCGAAAAAGGTTGGGTGTAGTGTTAGCAAATATGATCAGTTCTAAGGGTCGGTCTTCTCAGGCTGATGATACACAGTCATGTTGTAGCATATGCGTTCTCAAACTAGTTTCTTTAACCTGTTAGGCTCCGTTGGATAATGAATGATCACTGGTAAATGATACAATCATACAAAATATTATAAGAACGAGAAAATTGTGTTTTACCTGCATTGCTGCTAGCATGGATATAAAATACATGCACTGTTCAAGTAGAGCACGCTCTTTAGCAATGATTTTTGCAAGTTCAGTCACCAATGAGTTCACTTCCTGGACCTGAAACGCGATTGACATTGTTCTGCATAGGTCAGCCATGCAAACACAACAGCTTTCGGCTGAAATTCAAAATGACATTCTAGTCCCTTCTTTCTCTTATCAAATAAGGCAAAATGGTCCTATATTACTGGGCCCAGAGTCATTAAGGAGGGGTGGGGTATCTTTGACAATATAGATCAATCCCAAGGGAAAGCATGCAGTAACAGTAAATGGGAATACCCTAGTCAGAAGTGAACATATTGAGGATGCCATTGTCTGCATTACATCAACTGTGGAACTAATAGTATCTTTCACGCTTTGCAGGTCGGCCTGTCAAAATTGGAAATATTCTCGATTTTGTCAAACGAAATTAGTTTTACCCTTGAGACATGGTTTAGAATATTAGCAACAAAGAAAAGAATACTGCCAGCCACATACAATTGCTCCTCCAACAATCGGAAGACGGAGAGTGCTAGCCTTCAAACCTTCAATAGCTCCCAGCAAAGAAATTGAGTGGTCTTTATCCAAAGAAGACCAATCTTCCAAAAAGGACATCTATATCAGAAATATTAGCTTAATTCAGATTTGTCGAACTGCAATTATCTAAATCATACCCACATCCATAGGGCACATACCCACCAATAAAGAGAGAGAACGGATAGAGAGGACGGATAGTTCAGACCAACCAGAGATAACTTCCCGGTAGAGAAATTAGTTAGAAATCAAATAAATAAAACAAAACATTAGCATAAAAGAAATTAAGTTACTTTGACAATCAAGCTGAAAAGTGAACAGTTTGGGAAACAAGCACCTTCGGCAAATTTAGTTTTATGTTCACGCAATATGGATATCTAGAGCTTCTGTCAAGACTAAGTACGTCATTAATTTCCATTATTACATATTGCCAGTAAATAGATCATCAACAGCATAGGCCTCAATCTATTCTTTTTGGGGGTCTTCAGTGTAGGAAATGAGAGGAACAAATTTTACATAACAATGAACCAAGCACATTTTGCAATTTTGTGCCATAGCCCTCTTCATATAACAAGTAGCAAGTCAATAACACCAATCAGCATGACGAACAGATAAATTTTACAACCTTTACAGGGAAGATTACTCACTATATGCATTCGTTATTATAGTTTATAGAATTTAAGCTACATAAAACTCGATAAAAATACAGATCTGATAACGGAGCATCTATCATGAAAAATAATTACTGCAACTATCAGTTCTGATACACCAGTAAGCCAATTGGTAAAAAAAATACCCGTGATTGGACTTTTTTTCAGCAATTGAAGCCAAATATTTCTAAGCAGAATTGCAGTCCAAGTTTATATTGACAATAAATGATTGAAGTGTAAAAAAAGAGATTTATATGGTCGTGTCTCTGGGTCAAAGATTCCTATGTTATACAATAATTTTGTGGCTAAATATTCCAACAGAATTCTGCAATATAAAGTAGAAACCAGGAATGGAGCTTACTTGACCCTTGAGAATGGAGGCTAGTTTTAACTTTTGCCTCAGCAATTGCAATCTGTGTCTTTTTTTGGTGATAGTGTCACGTAGATCTGAGATTGTTATCCATGCATTCCATAGATTTTTCTGATAAAGACAGGAAAAAGTTTATCTATTTGTATATGTGGAAAATACTTTAACAAACCAACCTAGAAACAAGTAACAATTTATACAGAAAACAATACAGGTACAGCAAGATATTAAAAGTAGGTTGCCATGAAAAATATAAGGTATGAACATTACGAAGAGATTAAAATAAAATTCTAAAATAGCTGGAAATCTAATTTATCAAGTAAAACGACGAACAGGAGGCATATAAATATTCAGTTTAAAAGAAGCAAAAAAGAGAAACTCAAAAGTTGTTCAAGAGATCCAGATTGGGAGACATGAAGTTTGAACATACTGTGTAACCTGCACTACGACTCGCTTCAGTCCAGAAACGGACAAAAAAGAACATATTGTCGAATGTGTGGAGCCTAACATACTGCTGGATATGTGGGCGATTTTTTTTTTTTTTAAGTGTTATAGGGGTACTTTGGAAAATTTGCACATGTATTAGGTCACCCTAATATTTTCCTCCTATATAAAAGGGTATATGTACATTGTCATATTGAAGATAGAAGCCATACAAAAAGTATGAAAAATGTAAAATGGCAAGGATAGCTGAAATTACATCATCCAGAAAAAGAATAAAAATAACATAAGGTAGTCATTGAATCTACCAGTTAACATCTGTGTTTTAATGGTCTAGCTTTCAACTGTCTTGGAACTCACTTCCTAGAGAATACTTGAAAACTTTTAACAGATGGAAGTGAAGCTTCTTGAATATGAAACTTCCAAGTTCCAACAAAATATACACAAATCAACTAATAGGAAGTGAAAATAAAAATAAGAAATGACTTTTGTATCTGTTCATGTATATTTTTTTAAACATGAACATCAATATATAATTCTGATTATTGTATTTTTCAAGGCTAGATTTCATCCATTCATTTGTCCATTGTTCTAACAACGTGCAAAGACTATCAAGATTGAGTAAGGATACACACATTATTGTCCTCTCTATAACTATATTGTTACCATAAGCCCACAAAGTAATTGTATGATCTAACTATCAATTAGATTGGATAAGATTATGGAGATCGTCGAAGATTGAATAAGATTCTGAAGATCGTCAAAGATTACGACTATTATGGATAGATTGTTTTTACTATTAATTAATATTGTAATTGATTGCTACCATATTTAGTTGTTATTTTGGTTTCTATATAATGAGAGAATCTCTCACATAGAGGGGCATCGAGTTTTTTATTGAGTATATTTGACATGGTATCAGAGCCGTTCTGATCCTAAACAAATTAACCCTTGAATTTCGTTTCTTGCCTCGACCTTATGCTGCTCGCTCGGCCAATTTTTTTTTGAATAAACACGATCTTTTTTTGCAATTTTACAAGTCAATACATATCCGATTTTGGGTTGAAGTTTGTTTGGGCTCACAATCTGATTTTTTTTTTCTTTTTTTGTTGGCCGATAAAGTTTGGGTAGATATATTAATATTTTTTTTGGATTGTGTTTTGATTTTTTTCCTTTATATAGTGCTTCGTGAGTATAGAGAAACATGGGAGTGGAGATAATTGCGTTTTGGTTGCTCAGGTGATGAGCTAAAGTTTAGGCTGTTTTGTGGGATTTCTTCCACCTGCAGCATCTGGAGTTTTGGCCGGTGTTTTGGCGTTAGAGCTTTTATTGAAACACGAATTATGTGTTCGATTAAGTTCTTCCGACAGATATAGCTCACTATGTGTGTCAGCACATTTCGTGAATTTCTTTTGGGAATTCTTTTTGGGGAGTGTGAGTTCTCGTATTATCTTTGGAGAGTTCTTGAAGTGACTTTGGAGTAGTTCTTTGTTGTTTCTGCATTATTTGTGGTTCTTGGTCTCTCGTCTCACTAATTTTCGTAGTTGGTTGCTTTGATTTGGATTTCTTTTTAGTGGACACAACTATTGTCACCGTCGCTAGTTCGTGATTGCAAATTGTTGCTTTTGTCACATCAATTTGAGGGGGGATGTCAATGAGATTGAATAAGATTACGGAGATCGTCAAAGATTGAATAGATTCCGGAGATCGTCAAAGATTACGACTATTATAGATAGACTGTTTTTACCATTAATTAATATTGTAATTGATTGCTATCATATTTAGTTGTTATTTTGGTTTCTATATAATGAGAGAATCTCTTACATAGAGGGACATCGAGTCTTTTATTGAATATATTTGACACTAACCTGAAGTTATCACGCTAATAGAATGTCCTCCAATGATTTCAAAATCAGACCATACGAGTAATTATCTCAATCAACTTTACTTTTTACTTACACAGGTTCTTCACAAATACATACTCATCATCTTGCAATATATGCACCTGTAGATACTTTATAGCATTTGCCAAAAGAATTATTATAGAGTAACAATTTCCAGATTTTGTGAAAAGGAATTGTAGTGTGTACTACATTAATTATCTTCATGCATTTTTTAGGTTAACTTCTGCGCAGCATTAATTGTCTCATCACAAATATTAGATTGTGTCATTTCTAAATTTGGAAAATAAACAAGTCTGCTGCTAAGATGCATAGTTGCACAAGTGAACATTAATTAAGGTTAATCGTAGTGATCCCAACACATTTTGACAGATTGTTTAAACATATGGTGAATTATAATGTATACAACTACTTTCACGAGTTCATCAACGTGCTTTGAAAGGTCAAATTTGACAGCAAAAGGATCTGTGTAGTTCAACAAGAATCGTGGAAAAAATGAAAAGGCTATGGAAACACCAAAAGAACGCTGCTTTGCAAAGAACAATTCCTACTGTATCAGATATTAATTAAGTGAGAATGAACTTAAAAATCATGAGTAAGAAAAGTGACATTTATTATTATACATCTCAAAAGGGAAGGGAAGATTATCATTTCTCGAAGAAAGTATCTAACAGAAAAACATAACATTAAAATAATTGATATTCTCCTGGCCAGAAGGAAAGTATCAATACAGAGTTTTGTCTGAAAAGCATGACAGAAGAATTTACTTGTAACAATGGACATATAAATCGTGTTTTTGTATTCTCCATGGATCTGGATATTTTAATCTACACCAGTAGAAAACCACTAAAGTTAAGGAACTCTTAAGTTCTCGTCAAAATGACAGGACAGCATCCAACTTTTTATTGCCGACTTTGTTTTTAAGTCAACTTAAAGGGACCACGGTTTGAAATGAAGACAACTAGAAAGTCTAGAGCACAAAAACACAAACAAGACATATCCCATCAAATTTACTATAATAAAATTCAACATGTGGACAAAACTGAAGTGTACCTCTCACTTTTCAAGAACAATACATGAAAGACTATGACTACCTTCTCTTCTTATTTGGATTTATGTAATTCCGATGTTGATTTTCATTACAAAAATATATACGGTGAGCCGGTGACCATAGAGGTCACAGAAACAACCCTTTTGCAATTCCACAGGTAAGAGTACTGTCTCCACTAAATTAGGGCTAGGACCGTAAAACATTGACTCGACTCTAGCTAGCTTTAAGCTTACGTCAACATTTCCAGGGCAAAGTACTTTAGGAAACCATACCAACAAATATGAAACACGTTGTTCTGTAGCCAACACCATAATTCTCTATTTACTTTTTCTATTTGCTATGTAAGTTAACATGTGATTTCACGAAATAGCATCTATACTTATCTCATTCATCTTTATCTCAGTACAAGAATGTTCAGTCAGATATCAATCTTTTGAACATGGATCCTAGAAGTGTTTCTCACTACATGTAAAGAAATCAAATCATGACACTAGCATCAGATATAACAGAATAAACACATCCACGTCTGGCACTTGTGCAAAACTTTTGAATGAACCATTTAAAAGGAAAAAGTAAAAAGAATAGACATAACAAACATACTTCTAATCCTCCATAAGTTTTGTTAGTTTTAGACAATTATTTCCTTTCAACAACTAAGCCTTATTCCCAATACATTACGTCCTTTCATCTTCCTTCATTTCCTCCACCAAGCATCTTATTATTGATGTCCAAAATGATTTTATATATCGGAAGATCACGTGATGTAAGTGAAAAGTAACAAACTTCTGTTATGACCATTGCATCTATCAACAATCACTTCCTATTACTGAGTTAGTATAATTAAAGATTTCAAAGAGGCAAGGCATTTATCTACATGGGGAGGTTTAATCAGCTATCCTCTATGGATTGGAATATACCCGAGCGAAATGTTTCACTCTGAGTTTATATGTTTTGCACCACATCATCAAAGCTACCAAATTGGCACAAAACTAAGTTTCATGCTTGCACATCCGTATTGTTATCAGTAAGTACATAATAAAGAGAATGGTCCGAAAATTCATCCCGCTTGCTTTCACCGTGATTATCAAGGGTTAAGAGCATAGCATTTGTTACCAAAAAAGAAGAAGAAGAAGTTATGATCATTGTCAAACAAGAAGCACGCATAGACTGTCACTAGCTAAATCCAAAGCAACCTGCGAAATTTTTGACTCAAAACCACAGGTAACTATAAAGCGTCTCACCTCAGCACCGTGTTTCTGCACCTGCAGGACAGCTTCAGTTCTAGCATTTACAAATCGCCACTGCAGGTGTCGATTATACAGAAGCCTCAACAAGTGTGCATCAAAAATCCGGTTCTCTCCGACCTTCCCCCTCCTAACGTCAACAGAAAAACTAAGAACTGAGGGTGCCTCACTAAAATTATTGCTAATGGTACTAACAGCATTTCTGACCCGAGATGGACTAATTCCACGGGATGGAGATGATCTAACATGTGTATTAAGCTTGCTCGGAGATGCAGCTCTAATACCTCCACGAATAGGAGAAGAGATCATTCGTGGGGACGATAATGGACCATCGCTGGGATACTTCTTCAATTTTGGCGGCACAATCAACTTGGACCCAGGACTTGTGGATAGGGGTGAACCTGGATCCTGCAACCTCCTTAATCGACTATTAGTTTCTTGCCAAAATCTTGCCGAAACAACAATTCCGCGAGGCCCATTAAGGCCATGGGATGCCCCGCCACATTCTTGAACTCCTGAAGTACTACCGGAGGATACACTATCCGTATCAGATGCAGTGAGATCAGATTGCACAGATGACTCGTTATTTACCGAATTTCCATCTGGTGCCTCCTTAAGAAGCTGGGAACTGCCCAAATGCGACGCCCTACCCTCATCAATCGTCGATTGTTGCAATGCTCGAATCCCATTTCCAGATCCGGTGAGCATACTTTTCTCATCACCACTACCACTACAATCCAAACTCCTCGACAATGGATTCACTAGCCGGTTCCGCGCTGGCCATCGATGCTGATCGACTGGCTTAGCATTCTCCACTTGATCTCCTCCTCCACCGCCCTTCCCTCTCGATGGAGTACTGCTCCTCCTCTCCGACGTGACCTTCCTCACACTACTCAAATTAGGCGAAGGTGGGGCCACCTTAGTCTTACTAACGGGTAGCGAAAACGCTTCACCTTGAAAGGAAACAGATAATCTCCGAGTAGAAGTGACCAAAAGCTTTGTGGCAGCTGAGACCTCAGTGCAATTGCTCTGCTTGGAATCAAGATCACGTGCTACGGGACGCCGGCGGTCCACAGAAACAGACCTCTTCAGGCCCGACGAAGGCGTGTTCAAAACCGAGGTCGAGTTTCTCGAAACCAATGGGGACGGATACCTTCTAGAAGAGGTGGAAGATGAGGAAACTGAAGATGCATTTGAGGTTGAAGTGGAAGTCGACGGGGACGGGGACATGTATCTTGAAGAGACAATTCTCGATTTAGGCCTTTTGGATGTATTGCCTGAAACCCCATTACTATAATCTTTTTCAGAAGGCAACAATGGGGGTCTTCTTGAACGCTCATCCCTGGTTTTGGGGTTTTGTGGGTCAGTCGTTGAAGCTGCTCCTCCAGAAGCAGCAGCCACCATCATCACGGCCAAGAACACACATACAAACACAGTTATTGTGAAAATTCACCGCTCACGGACTCACCCAGAAGCCCATTTGATATCGCTATTAATCTGCAATAGAGATCAAGAAATCCCACTACAGCTCAAGAAACCATAATGAGTCATTGAAAGATTCCACATTCCTCCAAGATTTCTTCACAAGAATCGAAAAGAATCTAAATCACAATGGTGCTAGCTTAGAGAGAGAGAGATCCCCGGAAAATTTGTTATTTTTCCGGCAAGAATTGAATTGAACGGGAGAGGGATTGAGATTTGCAGAGAAGGGGGCACAGAGTCTTGGGGGACAGGGGTACGAGGTGAATTTGGGGGGTTTAGTTGAACTTTGGAGAGACGTTACGCTAACCATATTCAAAGAAATTTTAAATTTTAAATTAATTGATAAAACATTTTTTCAAATATTCTAATGGATTTAATGAAGTAATTTAATAGGTATTTTGTAGGGATTGATGGGGCTGTCTCAACTCTCTAAACTCCACTTTTGAGTCCCCACACCACACATGACTTGTACTTTTCCAATTTGATTTCAAAAATTACATAAAGTTGAATAGTTCCATTCATAAAATGTCCATTACCAAACTTGACGTTCGCCCCTTATATTTTACCGTTAGTAACTTTGTTCATATTTATTAGTTTTAACAAAAAATATATATATATAAGACAAGCAACTAAATTATTAACAAAGTTGTTGAACAAATTGGGTGTCCTAACTTTTAAAGGAGAACCTTGCAATCTTTATTAGAACCATTTAAAATTTACGATGAAATAAGTTGAATTATACCTTCAAAATTATGATTGTTGTGGTAGAATCAAACTGAACGGTTTCGATTCTAATTCGTTTTCAATAATTACGGAGAACTAAATAGTTTAATTTACATAATACTCGAAGTCGAAGTTTAATAGTGGTTTTAGTTCAACTTTATAAACTTGGCTTGATAGCAACACCTACCCTTACTCAAACATGATACGATTGATGAATATTTCAATTATAGCTATGATTTTAGTTTAAAATTCTTAATCATTCAGACACGGGGTTAGGTTCAAGAATAATAAATTAAACCTTCTTTTCTAACAAAGTCAATCCTTGAAGATTTCTTTTGGCCACAAGGTGGTTTGACGGAGTTTTTAATATATTATATTTTATAAATTTGATAGAAGTTAATAAAAGTTAGAGAAATGTTATTCATCTCCAGTGGGGATGCATCCTCAATCTATGTGGCGTTAATATGACATTAAATGATATGTGAAATTGAATAAATCATTTAATTTCACGTATTATTTAACCAATCATTTACATCCACATAGAATGAGGGATGCATCCCCACTGGGGATGAATAGCATTTTTCTAAAAGTTAAGGATGTCATGGAAGTTAAAATTTAGGGAAATTTGCGGTCGTGGTCTCAAACCTTTCATTTTGTTGCAGATTACACCCAAACCTTTCATTTTTGCGACCGAAATCCCAAACCTTTATATGTAGTTGCAGCGTCGGTCCCAACCCTTTAATTCTGTTCATAAAACCGTCATTCAACGTTTCAACAGTAATTTTGACTCGAAAAAATTGCAGCGTTGGTTCCAAACCTTTCATTTTGTTGCAGATAACACCCAAACATTTAATTTTTGCGGCCGAAATCCCAAACCTTTATATATAATTATAGCGTTGGTCCATTTCACGCATTCCTTCCATAAAATCGTCAGTCTACGTTGAAACAGTAAATTTAACTCAAATGACATCTTAATTGATGAGTAAAATTGTCAAAACAAGTTATCCAAAAAAAAAATTTGTTTTCTTCAGATCCTTCAATCTTTTCACAGTCATCACATTCTCATTATCGATAACTATCTGATCAGAAAACAATCAGATCNCCTTGTGAATCATAAGCTAGATTATTTTTTGTGTAATTAACCAAATTTTTGAAATTAGTGTACGAAAACCAAGAATTTATTTCGATTAAACCAAGATTAAATCGGTTGTCATTTGCTAATACCTAGGTTTGGCTTTAGAGCCTGCGGCAACCCATTCTTGTTTGAAAAAGATTTAAAAAATTATTGAAAAGTTTAGATTAAAATTAAGGGAAAATTGCGGGCCGTGGTCCCAAACCTTTGATTTTGTTGCAGATTACACCCAAACCTTTCATTTTTACGGACGAAGTCCCAAACCTTTATATGTAGTTGCAGCATCGGTCCCAAACCTTTAATTCAGTCCATAAAACCGCCAGTCAACGTTTCAACAGTAATTTTAACTAGAAAAAATTGCAGCTCTGGTCCCAAACCTTTCATTTTATTACAGATTACACCCAAACCTTTAATTTTTGCGGCCGAAGTCCCAAACCTTTATATATAATTATAGCGTTGGTCCATGTCATGCATTCCGTCCATAAAATTATCAGTCTACGTTGAAACAGTAAATTTAACTCAAATGACATCTTAATTGATGAGTAAAATTGTCAAAACAAGTTATCCAAAAAAAAAATTTGTTTTCTTCAGATCCTTCAATCTTTTCACAGTCATCACATTCTCATTATCGATAACTATCTGATCAGAAAACAATCAGATCTGACATGTTATAATAATCGAGAAATTATTTTTATGTCATGTTATTTATCACTAAAATAAATAAATTAGAAAATAAAAATAAATAAACTGCATTTAATACTATAATTTGTATGTATTATTAAATAATTTTTAGATTTATTAAAAATCAAAAATAATATTAAAATAAGAAAAAAATTTTAATACTATCTATGCGTAAGCTTTGTCTAAACATTTACAAAGTTATTTTCTTATTAAAAAAGTATTTTATTATTTTTAATTTTTAATTAATCTAAAAATTATTTAATAATATATATAAATTATAGTACCAAATGCAGTTTATTTATTTTTATTTTCTAATTTATTTAATTTAGTGATAAATAACATGTCATAAAAATAATTTATCGATTCGATTATTATAACAAATCAGATCGAATTATTATCTGATCAGATAGTTATTGATGATGAGAATGTGATGACTGTGAAAAGATTGAAGGATTTGAAGAAAACAAACATTTTTTTTTTGATAACTTGTTTTGACAATTTTACTCATCAATTAAGATGTCATTTGAGTTAAATTTACTGTTTCAACGTAGACTGATAATTTTATGGACGGAATGCATGACATGGACCAACGCTATAATTATATATAAAGGTTTGGGACTTCGGCCGCAAAAATTAAAGGTTTGGGTGTAATCTGTAATAAAATGAAAGGTTTGGGACCAGAGCTGCAATTTTTTCTAGTTAAAATTACTGTTGAAACGTTGACTGGCGGTTTTATGGACTGAATTAAAGGTTTGGGACCGATGCTGCAACTACATATAAAGGTTTGGGACTTCGTCCGTAAAAATGAAAGGTTTGGGTGTAATCTGCAACAAAATCAAAGGTTTGGGACCACGGCCCGCAATTTTCCCTTAATTTTAATCTAAACTTTTCAATAATTTTTTAAATCTTTTTCAAACAAGAATGGGTTGCCGCAGGCTCTAAAGCCAAACCTAGGTATTAGCAAATGACAACCGATTTAATCTTGGTTTAATCGAAATAAATTCTTGGTTTTCGTACACTAATTTCAAAAATTTGGTTAATTACACAAAAAATAATCTAGCTTATGATTCACAAGGTTAGACTCTACAACCCTATTTGGCGAGATTAAAATCAAAATTTTAATAGATTTTGATGAAATGTGATGTTAAAAAATTATGAATCATATAAAACATGTACTCCCTCCGTCCCATTTATATAAGCTTGTTTTATTTTTCACACAGATTAAGAAATTTTATTTAATGTCATTGAAAAAGTAATTTTTTTCAAAAACTTTCTTAATTTACCCTCATTTAATTATCAATAAATAGTAGTAAATTATTATTGAAAATAGTAAAGAAATAAAAGTATATTAGCAAACGAACAAAACAAAACATTCTTAATAAAGAAACAGGACTATATAATTGGGACAAGAAAATAAGGAAAGTAAACCTATATAAATGGGACGGGGGAAATAGTTGAATTTAGTTGTTAACTCTGATTTAGGGTCCATCTGATTGGAAGTGTGGAAAATATACGGAAAGAAAATGAATTATAGGGAAAGTAATTGCTTATAAATTGTTTTGTAGGGAATTGTTACTTAAGTGTGTTTGATTGTTATAATTTTTTTCCTAAAATTTAAAATTTAAAACACAAGCAAACTGAAACAAAATGTACTTTTAACAGGTAATTTTACTATTAAAAAAGTGTTAACCAATATTTTAAACTAGGGTAACGGTTTTTCATTAAAAAAAAAGTTCCTAAAAAAATCATTTTTATCAAAATGCAGTGTTCGTTCGACTTTGTTTTATATGAAAATTGTCCATTAAATTACATTTTTTTTTATAATTGGTTATGAAATTTGTTTCTATTATCAAAAAAAATAAAAACGTCAGACCTAGAAAAGGCATTTCCTTCTCCCTAAATCCAAGGAAAATGGGAGCGTGGGAAAAAAATTTTTTGGCCAAATTTGTCCAATCAAACACTACATTTTGGCAAAGTTGGAAATTGATTTCCTTTTTCCTAGGAAAAAATGATCCATCAAACAGGGTCTTAGATTAAAATCTCTATTTTAATTTCTACCAAATTGTGGCAAAATAACATTTGTAAGTAGCTTATTGAGATAAGTACGAAATTATATAAAGTATTTTTATTAATGCTTGATTTGAACTAAAATCCCTCCTCGAATAAAAAATAATTACGTAAATTGCAAGTTCGAAGAAATTAGTGGAAAGTACCGTGGATTGAAAAAGAGAGCAACTTGACTTTTAACGTTTGCAAGAAATGATCCTCGCTTTTGACGATATATATATCTATATTCCTATCTTTTTTCTTATGTACTATCGTCAACTTTCGACGATAAAATATTATCAGTTAAATTTATGGAAATCATAAAGATTCACATTGATTTTGAACAATTCTATCACTTTTATTAACACGAGTCTCTTGAGATCCACACAAAATCGTCATTTCTTTAATTTATCCTCAACAAATCAATCAATCGGTATCCCCTCTATTTATTATAATATATAACTCAATTAAAGGTTTAGTATAAAATCAACTTCATTGACTTGAATAATTTTAGTCGACGGCGTCATTGGACTGTAACGACTCACGAGGGAGACCAATAATCAGCAAGCATAACAGTGTTTAACGAACGAGCTGAATTAAACTATTTCTATATTTAGATTTAATCAATAAATAAATATTAATGGTAGTTGAAATAATTAAACTATTTATCTATTTAGATTTAATCAAGTATAATGTTTTGGGTCAGATTGATGGGGGCGGATGTATTTGGGCCTCGTTGATTTCAATGGATCTACAGGATGAAGGGCGCGCCCCATTAGGGTAATGATTTAGTGGGCCGTACGACTTTTAATGGTTTCAACCCGTTACTAAGCCTGATATAACGGACCGAGGAGCTGAGCGATTGGGCCACATATTGGTTCATCAGAATGCAGACGTCCCAGTGGTTGATCTGCAAAAAAAGGGGACTATATCAAATCAAATATAAACTCTACGGACCGATTTGCAGCAACCAGAAAATGAAAAACCTGATTTGCAATATACAGAAATATAGGGACTTAGCGTCAGGCGGAAAACTCATGGCCTGATTTGCAGAAAGCAGGAACTTCCTGGGCATACTTGCAGAAAGTAGAAAATTAAGGGACCAATTTACCAAATTTTGCGCGCGATTGCAAAAACAGGGATTTGAGGAGCGCAGTCTCCCGTAAGTAAGTGCCTGCTTGCGGATTGGAATGAAGATGATTAAGCTCTATTTAAAAATCATTATTTCAAAACTCTTTATTCTATATACTCATTTTTAATTATACGTTTACACAATAAAATATTTTACATGTAACCTTTTAATCACACATTCTCAAAAAATTCAATATTTAAAACTTTATTTTGACCAAATAATGACCATCAAACAAGGTTGTACCATACAAAACAATGCACCTTTGAGAAAATATTAAGAAATATTTTGTTGATTTATTGATAGTAGGTTGTACCATTTTAATTGACTCATAAATACTAATTTCTTGGATGACAAAAATATATTAAAACAGTAGAGGTTAAAGCCAAGGAAAATTCTACTACATCAACTTTTGTACATAAAGGGTTACACCTCCCTCACATGGTGGGTGGGATCCACTTCATAAAATATTTTTTTATTTAAATGGATCACACCCCCATGTGAGGGGAGTGTACACCTCGATGTACATTGTGATGTACAAGTAGCAAAGCCCTAAAGCTAATTACAATGATGTCAATTTTGTAGCAACGTGCACGTTACTAAAGTCAACACACACCAGCACCGTGTCATAGATACTTTCATACAATTCTTCAGATCGACTTGTCAAATATCTGCATTTCAATAAAGCTACTGAGACAGGGATGGCAGCCAGGGTTTGGTGACAACGCAGACGTGGCGAGCTTGTTTGTCACCAAATCCTGTGTAGCATCTCTCTCTGCATTTACCCACTCAGTTCTTTCTTTTTTGGGGGGGCGAATCTCTCTCTCGTCCTGTCTTGGATCATACAAGTCTTCGAGACGACCTGTCCAAAAATCTGCATTTCCCCAATCAAAACTCAATTCTCTTTTCTGGGGGGTGAATCAATTCCTCTTTTCACTCTCAACCGTCCTGTTAGGAAAAGTGAATTTTTCCCTTTAATCAAGTATAATGTTTTGGGCCAGATTGATGGGGGCGGATGTATTTGGGCCTCGTTGATTTCAATGGATCTACAGGATGAAGGGCTTGCCCCATTAGGGCAATGATTTAGTGGGCCGTACGTCTTTTAATGGTTTCAACCCTGTTACTAAGCCTGATATAACGGACCGAGGAGCTGAACTATTGGGCCACGTATTGGTCCATCAGAATGCAGACGTCCCAGTGGTTGATCTGCAAAAAAAGGGGACTATATCAAATCAAACATAAACTCTACGGACCGATTTGCAGCAACCAGAAAATGAAAAGCCTGATTTGCAATATACAGAAATATAGGGACTTAGCGTCAGGCGGAAAACTCATGGCCTGATTTGCAGAAAGCAGGAACTTCCTGGGCATACTTGCAGAAAGTAGAAAATTGAGGGACCAACTTACCAAATTTTGCGCGCGATTGCAAAAACAGGGATTTGAGGAGCGCAGTCTCCCGTAAGTGCCTGCTTGCGGATTGGAATGAAGATGATTAAGCTCTATTTAAAAATCATTATTTCAAAACTCTTTATTCTATATACTCATTTTTAATCATACGTTTACACAATAAAATATTTTACATGTAACCTTTTAATCTCTCAAAAAATTCACTATTTAAAACTTTATTTTTACCAAATAATGACCATTAAACAAGGTTGTACCATACAAAACAATGCACCTTTGAGAAAGTATTAAGAAATATTTTGTTGATTTATTGATAGTAGGTTGTACCATTTTAATTGACTCATAAATACTAATTTCTTGGATGACAAAAATATATTAAAACAGTAGAGGTTAAAGCCAATTACAATGATGTCAATTTTGTAGCAACGTGCACGTTACTAAAGTCAACACATACCAGCACCGTGTCCTAGATACTTTCATACAATTCTTCAGATCGACTTGTCAAATATCTCCATTTCAATAAAGCTACCGTGACAGGGATGGCAGCCAGGTTTGGTGACAACGCAGACGTGGCGAGCTTGTTTGTCACCAAATCCTGTGTAGCATCTCTCTCTGCATTTACCCACTCAGTTCTTTCTTTTTTGTGGGGGCGAATCTCTCTCTCTCTCTCTCTCTCGTCCTGTCTTGGATCATACAAGTCTTCGAGACGACCTGTCAAAAGATCTGCATTTCCCCAATCAAAACTCAATTCTCTTTTCTGGGGGGTGAATCAATTTCTCTTTTCACTCTCAACCGTCCTGTATGCACATGGACGACGAGGGAATGGTGAATGATGCCAAGAACCCTTCAAACAGAAAGCCAAATCCAAAACTTTCAATTTTACCTCTGATTGCATTGATTTTCTACGAGGTTTCCGGTGGTCCGTTTGGTGTAGAAGATTCAGTCAAAGCAGGAGGTGGGCCTCTGCTATCTTTGCTTGGTTTCCTAATATTCCCCTTTTTTTGGAGCATCCCAGAAGCTCTAATTACAGCTGAATTAGCCACTAGTTTCCCAGAAAATGGAGGTTATGTCCTCTGGATATCTTCGGCTTTTGGTCCTTTCTGGGGATTTCAAGAAGGGTTTTGGAAGTGGTTTAGTGGAGTTATGGATAACGCCCTTTACCCAGTATTATTTCTTGATTATTTGAAGCATTCTTTTCCTATATTTAATAAAATGATTGCTCGAATCCCAGCTCTATTAGGAATTACTGTTTCATTGACATATTTGAATTATAGAGGCCTGCATATTGTCGGATTTTCAGCTGTTTTGCTTGCTGGCTTTTCGCTTTTCCCGTTTATTGTGTTAGGCATTATTGCAATTCCTCGAATTAGGCCTAGAAGATGGTTTGTTATGGATTATAGAAAGGTAGAATGGAGGGGATACTTTAATAGCCTGTTTTGGAATCTGAATTATTGGGACAATGCAAGTACATTGGCAGGGGAGATTGAGAACCCGAGTAGGACGTTCCCTAAGGCGCTGTTGGGGGCTGTAGTTTTGGTGGTGTGCTCATATTTGATTCCTCTTCTTGCGGGTACAGGAGCTTTGGATACAGATTTTAGTGAGTGGAGCGATGGTTATTTTGCACAAATTGGAATGTTGATTGGTGGATCTTGGCTCAAGTGGTGGATACAAGCAGCTGCTGCTTTGTCGAACATGGGGTTGTTTGAAGCTGAAATGAGCAGTGATGCCTTCCAACTGCTAGGGATGAGCGAGATTGGGATGCTCCCTTCTATATTTGCTTCAAGGTATGGATATTATTGGTTCATTTGAATGTCAAATTGCATGTTTATATGGCATTTGATTTAGAGAAACCAGATTAGTATAATTTTATACGATAAAATAATGAAAAGTTTTTGGGTTTACGTGTAATATTATTTTATTTGGAGAATGTGTGGTTCATAAGAATAGTGAGAAAAATGAATTATAATTTAACGAGGGCTCTGGGGCTCTGAAGTATGCCATGATAATAGGTTCAAGACAGTAAACTAATATTGCATTTGCCAACAAATCCTTATTCTTCCTTATTCTTCTTGGGAAAAGATCGTGATTGAGCTCCTGGGAATGCATATCCAGGATTCAAGTTCTGAATCTTTAACTATATGGTTTGTACCAGTGCAGAAAGGTTTTTAACTTTATGGCTTTAGCATGGCAATATTTCTTTGAATCTTGCAGATCAAAATATGGGACACCCACATTCAGCATTTTATGTTCAGCAACTGGTGTAATTTTCTTGTCATGGATGAGTTTCCAAGAAATCTTGGAATTCCTCAACTTCCTATATTCTGTAGGAATGCTCTTTGAGTTTGCAGCCTTCATTAAATTGAGAATAAAGAAGCCAGACCTGCATAGACCTTACAAAGTTCCCTTGAAAACATTTGGTGCAACGATGCTTTGTTTACCTCCCGTGTTGTTGCTTGTTCTAGTCATGTGTTTGGCTTCCCTAAAGACTTATTTAGTGAGTGGTGGCGTTATTGTTTTGGGATTTTTCCTGTACCCTGCAGTAGTTCATGCAAAGGAGCGAAATTGGGCCAAGTTTGGTACAGAAATACAACCCTCGAGGCCTTCTGATAGTGATCTTGAAGGCCGTCCAATTGTGTTAGAAGAGCATCAAGAAATCGACGAAGCTACTCGTGGCCTTCTTTTCGATTCACAATCTTTTAGGACAGAGCAAGCATCTGATATCTCATCAGAGGGAGTTCCAAAACTGGAGTAGAACGCACTACACGTCTCTATTCTGTACTCTTTTAAGTCAAATATACTTTCTGGGTGATCATGTATGATAATTGTACCACTTTGAATAAAGTTATGTATGATAATTGTACCAGTTTGACACCCATTTTAGGGGGAAAAAAATGAATTTTAGAATAGTGATTGATGGAAGAATGTGTGGTTGAAAAGTAATGAAAAATTTTAGATTTGTGTGTAATATTATTTTATTTGGAGAATGTGTGGTTGAAATGAAGAAAGAGAAAAAAAAATGAGAATGAGTATCAAACATGGCGTAAATTATGATGACTTTAAAGATGGTTGTTGGTTACAACGAAGTCACAATTTTGAGCTTTTCAATTCTTTATTATCATCCATGTCAAGCAATTCAAGCTGCTATCCAGTTTCATGCTGTTACTATAAATAATATCAAGATGCACACATCAAGTCGGTATTTATGATTCTACTACGCTGTTTCATATACCAAGTTAGTGAAGAGCGAGGGAAAGACAATTCTTGACCAACTTAGCATCCGAAGTCATAGGGCACTAGTCCTTTCAGCTCAGTTCCGTTAAGTTTGCTGTTCTCGAAACTGAAATGAATGCCAGAATGAAGATCCATCAAATGATCATTGTTAACATTTAAACAGAACTTAGCATTAGTTTGAACTAGTCATGCCAGGATAATTGTAAACAACTATGGCTTATTCAGTACTCAACAGTGTTAAAAGGAAAAAAAGGGCTAAGAATTTGTTTATTGTCGTGTCTAGTGCTATCAGAGATTTGAATACCGATTTTGCCTCTACATTTGAAGGACAACAATGTCCATCTGTAATGCAGAGAATACTCGCCCCGGCCAAATGTTCAAATTCTCTAAACTATGAATGACAATAGAACTTGCTGTAAAGTGCCTTTACGTAGTAAGACTTTTGAAAAGGCCGTCGGCTGGTATTGTTCCACAGAGATCATTGTTAGAAACATCACTGCAAACATTAAAATCTCCAAACATAAGCTATAGAAATCAAACCCAAAACTTTGAGGTATGGAACTACTGCACTTTTCAAACTTACAGAACTTTGAGGTTTGAAAGAGTGGTTAGTTCCCTCGGAATCGAGCCTGTTAGCTTGTTATCATTTATTCGTCTGCACGACTGCACATAAAATGAAAATGAATACAAAATTCATGAATCAAAGAGTGCAGATTTGTACTAACAAAAATCTAAGAGACTTCAATTTGGCAAAAGATTTGGTAATATTTCCTTCAAATTTGTTGCCATATAGATACATGCTAATAACATTTTTCAACTTCCCCAACTCCTTGGGGATTTTTCCTCTTAGATTGTTATTGTAAAGTTCTCTGTAATCCATGTAAAACTTCAACCTTGTCACGAACATAGAAACATAAAACACAATTTAATGATAATGTGACCTGATTCAATGACTAAGATTGGAACCCAATTCACGAACATAGAAACATAAAACCCAACTTACATTGTCAGGGCTAAGATTGGAACCCAATTTATAAATTTTGACATATGACATGTGACCTGATTCAATGACTTAGTAAACAGAACTTTTGGGTCTGTGATCAAATCTCTTGAATATGTGACATATAAATGTCACCTAACAATTCGATAATTTTTTACTAAGAAATAATCTGTAACCAACTAATTTTATAATTTGTGACGTTAAATAAGTCGTGATCTATAAAATTTGTTATTTGTGATCGATAAATAAATTGTTACATATAAAACTTTTGATTTGTGATCGAAAAATAATTTGTAACTAATTAATTTGATAATATGTGATCAATAAATAAGTTATGACTTAAGTATGTAATTGTGACCATTAATCGTATAATTGTGATCTTAATATATTTAAATAATAAAATAAATTTAATTATTTAGTTATCACCTTTTAAAAATTTAAACTTACTCTTCAAGTTTTGAATTGACTTATTCTTAGGCCCTGTTTGGGAGGGATTTTGATTTTTCTACAGTAAATCAATTCTCATTTTCAACCACACATTCTTCAATAAAATAATATTTTACATCACATCAACAGTTTTTTCTTCTTTTTCAACCATACATTTTCCATCATATCACTATTCAAAATCAATTCTTCCCAAAAAAATCACTCTCAAACAAGCTCTTAGAGATGACAGCGGAGCGGGTTCGAGGGTGAGGCACAAAATATTCAGAAAAAGATTGAATTCCATGATAATGGCAGCTTTATGAGATTATAATTATGTATACATTTCATTAAATCCACAAATTTTATTTGAAGATTTTTATTTGAAGGAACAAACCAAATTACTTAGCCCTCAAATTAATAATATATTACGAACCTTCAAATGTCATTTTTTGGAGAAGTACTTGAAACAATTTTTTAAAAAACAAAATTCAAAATAAGCGTTAAATTAGATTTAAAAATAGAACAATTACCCTTATGTTAAAATAGAAGAAAAACAAAATAAAAAAAATGTTCACCAACTCACCATCTGCCTTAAACCAAAAGAGGCGGGTCATTACAATTTTACTTTCGAAATTATTTATCATAGAAAATTACTTGAAATTATTAAAGTACGTATACTACAGTGGTAATATATTGGTATCTAGATACTTGACGGGCTAGTGCGAAGAAGTCCTGCCCCAAACATGAGACGTATGTATCCAAACTTTTTTAGCAAATCAAAATATTGGTGTGCATAAGATCTATAATTCTTTTGAAATTGCTTTGTTCTCTACTTCTCTTCCTTTATATGAGTTTGGGATCGGCCACAAGGAACCCAAGGACACTGTATTTTCGATCGGGTTATGCTACATGTACATAATTTATTTACATAATCTATTCCACCCCACTCACATTAGGAGGTGGGGACCACGAGCCGCAATGTTTAAACACCAACGGGCCCCGCACACATTTCGGGTGCTCTAAATTGATGGATTCCCAATTCTCTTTTATTCTCACTGTTGGCAGATTTTTGAAGACAACCTGGTTAGGGGTTCATAATTTATTTGTTGAAGCACCTTTGATTCTGGGATTTGCTCTCTGCATCTTTAGAAGTTGAAATTCAGCATGTACTATGTTCTTTTGGCTGCAAGTTTTAGCTTTTGTTGATTGCTCAAGGTAATGAATAAAATACCATCTTTGATGATGTTAATGTTGATATAAAATGAAGAAAAAAACCACCAAAAAAAGAGCATATCAACAAAATTGAAGCATATTTTGATGATGGCCATGGCATCAACATCTAGTCATTCGAGTTTCAACCAATTCATCCGACCCTGCAGAGTTGCTTAACAAATATGTTGTAACACCATTTTTCTAATCAATCTAACAGCGAAATTCATAATCATAAATATAATAAAGATCTCATTACAAAGTTATTCTCAAAGCAAAATCTTACTCAATTTTCAGCAACATCTACGCGTTGAGCTTTTTTATTCGTAGAAGTCTTTAAATCTTAAACCTCGTCACTAATGTATCGCTTTGATTCAAGATATGACAACATCACCAGCTATCAAATTTAAGGAACGATCTTGTTTGCTTTTACCTTATCAATCCAAGAAATGAATGAATTTTTCGAATTCCTAAATCCCAGAAAACCGTGCTCCTTGCTCTTGTTCATAGTGTCCAATGGGCATTCAATGCCAAGAATAACATCACCAAACCACCAAATCCCGACTTCATTCAATTTAGTAGGTGTCAATCCATTCTTCCTCACTATTTCATCCCAAATTGGCCCTTTATCCTTCATTAATCTTTGCAATGACAGTTTTTGTCCTTCCTCGTACTCTCCACATTCTACACCGAATTGCTCAGCCAACACTTTCCAGAAATGCTTCCATTTGAACACATCCCCATTGCTCACATTGAACGCCTCATTCTTGGCATAAGGATCCACTGCAGCCCAGATTTGATGCTCCGCGATCAAATCAGCATCAGAGCAATCGGAATAGCCATTCCAAGCACCCTTAGAACCTGGAAACCTCAATGGCAAACCCTCATGCTTACAAATTGCTGCGTAAACACAAAGGGTTCCGACTAAATTCATCATACTATACGGTGAAAAGCCGAATATATTCCCTGGTCGATGAACTGACCATGTCAATCCTTCCTTCTTTTGAACCTCCTCAAACAAAATATCCTCAAGAGTGTAGTAAAAATTCGGGTAATTCAACCGGGGTAAATCCTCATGGTAAGGAGTATCATTTGTTTTGATTTTGCCAAAGGATTCAAATGGACCAATGTAATGCTTCCTTCCAGTCTGCAAACAGACATGCTGTAAATTAGGGCAATTAGGAATCAATACATCAAGCACATTCCTAAACATTTTTCCATTGGCTTCGCAGTTTTCAGCCTCAGTGGATCTATTAGTCCAGGTGACATAGAACAGATGGGTGACTTCAGTGAGAACGGAGAGCTTCGATTCGACATCCTCAGGATCCGATATGTCGCATCGGACATAATGAACCGGGTTGTCGTCGTTCCACGATGGCCGAGGGCGGCGCGCGACGCCGTATACCTTCCATGGGCCACCGGGAGTGTCGGCGAGGGGGAGGATCTCGGCTAGACTGTTGCCCACGATGCCGGTCACCCCAATTATCAGCGCCACGCTTTGATGCTTCGGCGGCGCATCATCTTCTTCAAATTTCTTCTGTTTCAATTAATCATTGGATCAAATATACAAAATATCAACCTCAAGAAGCTAATCCATATTTACATATACAAATAAAAAAAAGAAGAAGAATCCATGTACATCTACAACGAATATGTTACTACTTGCCTTTGCAGCGCCAATGGCTCCTGCCCACCACCAGCTCATTTTCAGCTACAAAAACGGAGGACTAGAAAGATAGAGAGGTTTGTAAGGAATTTCCGTTGGTGGAGTGATGATTTCTTGTGGAATAATATGCACATTCAACTGATTGATTTCTTGACGTGTTAAATTTTGCTTCATCCTAAACTCCCGCCGCCGGTTCACATAATTATACGATGGAAATTATGTTTAATTAGAGTACAAGTTGGACATCAACATGTTGACTAACGTGCATGCACTTGTTTTATTTTCCACATATTATTCAACGCCCAATGATTTTTCTCAAGGGAGATGTGATTTATTAAATATTCAACGCCCGATGATTTTTCTCAAGGGATATGTGATTTATTAAATGATATGTGATTTTTCCACATATTATTAAATAATAAATATTGACCATGTGATGTGATAGATCAATGAAATTTATAATAAATCTTTTAAGCTGCATGTACAGGCCATTATGGACTGTACATTTTACCGCGGGAAAATTATATAAAACTAGGGGTTTAATTTGACGTTTTTAAAAATCAGGGTTTTAGTTTATTTTTGCAAAAATCAGGTAGTATAAAACCCTAATTCTTAACCTAATCAATTTCCTCTCAACATTCTCTCTACCACTTTCTCTCGCCACTTTCTCTCCCAACCCACTGCCTCCCCATTCTCTCTCTCTGTATCAATACACGATATCCATCACCTCCTGCAGCTCTGGTGACTCCTACAGTGGTTGGGTGCAGTAGGTACGGTATTGTGCGTGCAGTGGTGATGGGTGCTATGGTTGGGTGTTAAGGCGTGCGGTGGTGGTGGTGGTGGTGGGTTTTGTGGTGTTGAGGCGTGCGATGGTGTTGGGGCGTGCGTTGGGTGGGGATGTTTGAGTGGTTTTAGTGGTGATGGCGGATCGGGCTGCTGATGGTGGATCTAGAATTGGTGGTGATAGTTTTGGCCGTAGCGATGGTGTGCTCTGCGTCTTGATTTGGTGGCTGTGCTATGGAGGTGAGGTGGTGGATCTGGCTACTTGATGGTGGATCGAGATTTGGTGGCTGTTCTGACTTCTGTGGAGGTGAAATGGTGATGGATCGAGATTGGGTGATATTTTGGTGATGGTTGGTGTGGCGGCGGTCGTGAGTGTCTGTGACCTAGGAATTGTGACCTGTGTGGTGGTGTTCGTAACTTAGAAATTGGAACTGTGACTCGCTGAAATAGAGCTGTGGCCCGTAAAAGTTTTTAATTTTTTAAATCTGTGACCTATGAAAAATTACATGTGACCTTAAAATTCTTGATTTGTGACCAACGAAGTTAACTGTGACCTATAAATTTTTTCATCTGTGATTTCGAAATAATCCGAGACCAATTAATTTGATAAGCTGTGACCTGAAATTAATTTTTAACTAATTAATAAGATATACGCTATTAGATTAAACAATTAAATATTTAATTAATTAATAAAAAGTAGAAACCTGATTTTTACAATTTTAAAGTTTAGCACCTGATTTTTTAAAATGACAAACTAAACACCTGAGCCATAAACTTTTCCCTTTTACAGCCCACACTAATCAGTGTGGGCCTAAGACTGTACAAGGGGAAAAATTCAATTTGTTATCTATCGATGGATTTATGCATTATATCATTGATATTTAGCATAAATTAAGAACGATTTTTTGATTAAAAATAGAGAAAAGTAATAAATCACATAATGTATGGTTAAAAAGAATTTTTAAAGAGTCCCTCCAAACAAAGTGTTAGACTTCCTCCGTTTTAGCTTAGCTAGTCTTACTTTTTACTAGGTATCGATTAAAATCTATATTTTAATCTAAGTTAAAGTCAATAATTAATTTTAACCAAATATTTTATGGGTCTCATAACTTCTCAATCATACATTTCATCAACTTANTTTTATGGGTCCCATAACTTCCCAATCATACATTTCATCAACTTATATCAAAATCTACTAAAAATTTAATTTTAATATCCATCAAACTAAGGCTCAGTTTGTTATTAATAGTTTAAACTTATATATTTATTTACTAAAAAACGAAATATTGAATTATTATCTTTGCTGAATCTGAGTTTTGGGAGTTTGTTGGTCCTTTGAAGAACCAACAGACTATCTTGAGATGAATATGACAAGCTATCTAACCCTTTTGAATATTGTATACGATTTCTTGCGTGATATATTATATTCATTTCAGAGAAATCGGAAATCTGGTGTTAAGAATTATGCCCACCTACAAGCAATGGCCCTAGCTTTTGAAATAAAAAGTGAGATTAGCCAAATCACAAATGATCAAGCATTTTGTCCACAAAAGCTTAAGATAGACTGATAGAATCAGAATTCTGAAGAAAGCTAACATTTCACTTTCAAAACCTACACTTAGATCACAAAGGCAAAATTACGCATACAGGCGATTTAAAACTAGTATATGAGGGGAAGGAGCACTTTGGTGTTCCTTAACAGTTACATCATCAACCAAACATGAAACAGCCTCATTTACAATATCAAGTGCTTCTCTCCTTGCAAGAAGTCTAGCCATTCTACTGGAACTCAATCACTTGAGGAAGTGAGGATTGATCAAACCAGCAATCTGGAGGAACCCAACACGGTCTCTTCCTCCAAAAATATTCTTCAGATTCTCATCGCAGATGATTACCTTCTTATCAGCAGGATCCTAATATAGAGAGATAGAGTGACGTCATTTTCTTGGCAACATTGAAGTCAAATAAGCAAAATCAAGAGCATAATTTTGATTTTGTTTATAAACAAGATATATTTCATTAAATCAACTATATATCAAATGTGTTTGGCTATATCCAATCAAAAAGAAAGACAAAAACTTGGATTTCAGCCATGTAACCATATCATGGTGGCCAAAGAATCATACAGACAGATTGAAATTTTGATATGGTTTGGGGCTGAGTTGGAATAATGTAGAAGATAGTTCGTCCTTTCATATTCAACCCCCTCCCACCTCCCAAACTACCTTTGAGGGCTTGGGTAAAGGTACACTCAAGCAATTGAAATAAAACAAAAGAATTTTGAGTTATCCAAACATAATTCAGTCTACGCTAATAATAAATGTCAAAACAAATACTCATTGTAGCATATTGGTTCATAAATAAGATAGAGTGTCATCCTTTTAAAAGAGTCGTATTTGTAAGATGAGAATGGTTGTTTTTTTTCCAGTTCATCAGGTTTTACAATAAGCCTGCAAGCACAGACAAGTCAAGCATAATATTCAACAATCAACATCAAACGCATACAGTCGAAAAGCTCAGGAGATCAAATGCTTGTGCACCACAGAATATTCTAAATATTAATTATTACATTGCTTCCCATATTGTTTTCAAGCACTTGTGCGAACATCCTTGAAGCCAGCAAAAGAAATTGACTACTGTTATGATAGATTTTGCGAATGGCACTGGGCATCACTATTTAATGAACTTGTCTTCCTTGCAGAAATGAAGGTGAAAATGTGAAAATAACCATTGAAAAGTAGTGCGCAAAGGTTTGGAAAATCTCGAGTAAATGACATTAGAGAGTTGGCTTGAGCAACTTCTGAACAAAGTTTTAAACGTTGATAGGCATGCCTTAAAAACAGGAAGTTTGCGAAATTGATGAAATACAAGTCAAAACCTCTTCTACTGTTAAAGTTGTCACTGCTGCCATTTTATTATATTAGCAGTAGTGACAATGACGCTGACTAAGTAAACTGTATAGTGTAAAAACTAACATTTTGTTAAGTTGCAACATTGTAATATTAAATTATAGTTATTTGTAGAAGACTCAGGTTTGGAAAACTTTACAACTATTGATTAATAAAAGATCACAGAGCACGTATTAGTGAAGATCGTAGAGGACTATTCTTACAGAGGAAATTTTACTTTCATAAATTCTACGGGGTCTAAAATCTTTACGTATTCCTCCTACCTATACAGCGTTTTTATTTATTTTTTAATCATCACATGTTCTCTAAATATGCACCATGTTTCCTTCCTATCTTCGACACACCTTTAAGTGCAAATAACATTGCTTATTTTTGGTGACGAGAATATAATTGGCCACGAAAGGTATTTGTGGTTGAGCTTTAAGTTCAATCTTAGTGAAAAGTGGTTCAAACTATACAACAATTCAGTTAAGCTATTGCATCCAAATCTGAAGAAGTCATGAGATTTGCTTCTCAACTTTACTCTGTTATTTTAAAATAGAAGTGTAATTCTTCCGCAGTTTTTAAGGAGGAACCAAGGTTCACATCAATAGAAACTCCTCCAGCAATTCCAGAACAGTCAAACTTAACTACACGTGCAATAGTAAAGTTCGTTTAATGCAGCTAAAATAATCACATGAACAAATTTCAATCAATTGGATATAACAAATAACTTCTGAAAAACTCGATTCATGACAGCTGATAAATATTCATCACAATTCAAATGCGTGCTTCTTATATTCTAACGAATCTAACCAATTGTTATTCCAGGACAACTTCAATTTATTCAGATTCGCCAGAAAACCCTCTTGCGAAAGTGAGAGTGCAACACAACACAACTACGAAGAACCTCATGTTTCATTTTTAATATTTCAAGCAAAAAATACTTATACACAGGGCATATAGTGAATCTCTAAACTTACCCTCAAATTATTGTAAAACGAAGTAAGCTTCCAAATATATTCAAAAACATTACAAAATCTCGTCAAAAAATTTGAACCAATCTTTATACGCATTTAGTTACCTGAAGGTCGTGTTGCTTAATGTACGCCCAAATCTCTTTAAGCGCTTGAGTGCGGGAGATTTCTGAGACACCTCCAAGAAACGCCTGCATTTCCGGAGATACTCGGCGCGGCTTCATTATGCCCCTTGGCTCGCGCTTGTTCGTCTCCATGGCCGATTTCGATGATGCAGCCAAAGTCACTGGTCTCACTGTGCGCAGATTAGAAGGAGCTAGCCTAACAATAGACGAATTTTTCACCAACGACGTCGTTTCACCGGGCAAGAAGCTCGAGAAAACACCCAGGGAAATCGCCATGTTTTCCAGAAATTCGGAATATTGTGTAAATAATTTGAAATGCAGAAGCGTGCGAGAAACATAAGAGTGGCGAAAGGGTGTGCAAAAAGTGTCCTAAGGGAAAAGTGTGTTATTTTTAAAAATGGATTATGGGAGGGACCACTTGCATAAAATATTTTTTATTTAAGTGGTAACTCCTTAGGTACACTCCTAAGTACCACTAGCATAATTCTTTAAAAATTATCTAATAACGTGCTTACTGCACAATATAAAAAATGACGTAAAAACACGTAGCGTGATTGAAAGTTAAAACCCGCATCTTTAGCGTTCAGAGTTTATTTACAACAATACCCTCAATCTCTGAAATTTTTTTCTAAGGGTTATTGGCACAAAACGTTCTTACGATTATGTTCATTGTCCAAAACGTCATCATCTTTCAAGTTTTTTGCATTTTCCCTCATTAACCCATTTCATTGTGAAAATCATCGTTTTCATCAATTTTCATCCACATTTTCGATAAAAAGCTATGAAATCTGCACTTGTTAAATATATATACACCTTGTCCTTTGTGTCTTGCTCTGACGAACACCGTCGTGCCACCCAATTCATGAAAGCAACAAACGCAATTCCAACGAGCGAAACCTATATGAAAATCTGTAGACTTTTGTGGGGGCCATTGTCGTCGTTACCTGCCACAGCAATGGCGAGGGCTAGTAAAATCTAAGTTGTTACGTCGTTAAACGCCAACGTAGCGATGGCGTTTTCGTCGACGCAGTTTCAACAAATGAAATTTAAATTGAGTTTAAGGTCCTCCGAGAAAAGGAAGAGGAGTAGGCAATACTTGCAACAGATTCAAGAATTGGGGTGCCTAATTTTCCTTTTGCTAACAGCTCTTCTGTATCCTACAATCTGACCCACTTCTCTCTATAAGTGAGAAATATATCCAGCTCATAACCAGGCGTTTAGCCTCTGCTAACGTTCGTAATGTGGATTTAATTGCTATTGAATGTTGATGAAGGTTCGAAACTTAGGTGGACAGCAAAGTGTAGGGTTTGACAAAACTTTCGAACCGAACTAGACCGAATCTGATCCAAACCGAGGGGTTCTTCTTAAATTAAATACCTGAACGGGTATCTAAATTAAAAATCGACGGGTTCGGTTCTCGGTTCTAGGCCTAGAACCGAATCTTCTTAATTTTTTATCTTAAATAAGTCAAATTATTTTATTTTATTTTTAAACGAATTTGCTAACTAATTAATTTACCTCAAACTTCAAATATGATTTTACTATTTTCAATTTTCAGCCAAGGCCAACTAAATCAAATTGACCTATCTTTTACCCAAATCTCGTATTCTACAGTAGTGTTGTTTCTACTGTTCTATTATTGTGAACCCGCTATTTTTCTCTTCTTATGATTTTAACAATCAAATGTATAAAGAACTCAACAAAGAAATATGCAAAAGATATCACCAGATGTGACTACGTTATTTTATAAGAGTTAAGATTGAACATGTCGTAGTCGAATTAATGTAGCGTTGTTATAAATATAAAAAAAAAATTATTGTGCGGAACTCGGGAACCGAAAAGAACTGAACTTAATCAAATGGAACCGAACCCGAACAGTTTCATAATTAAATTTGGATCTGACGGTCCCACTTACTAAATACCTGAAAGTGTGCCATCATCAACCAATTCTTCAAAATCATTATTGATAAGCTGTTTTTCTAGAGTAATAGTTTGTGGAATCAAGTTTTTCAGTGAGAGGTTAGCTCAAATTTGGTAGTTGTAGTAAATTTAATTGAGGTTGAACATTTTAAACATGAGGTTGAGGCCGAGTTTGATTTTGGATTTGAGGTTGAGGTTGGGGAATTGGAGTTTTAGGGTATGGAAAAGGAAAATTTCCTGGTGTAGTACCATAGATGAAATGATTGGGATTAGCAGTGGAAGGAGTAGCAATACCAGAGATGAAAATTTTGTGATGCTTTTTAATTGTTGTGGTGAACTCAGATAGTGGAGTTGGAAGCGATTATGGTAGGAGAGGTGGTGGTGGGAAGAGAGTAGTGAAAGAGATTCTTTTTATTTTTATTTTTTAATTATTTATTTAGAACTCGTGTGCACTTTTTCTTAAATTTTGGGAGAGTGGTTACTATTCGTTCTTTTTTTTTTTTAATTTAAATATTAGAGTATATGCATCATTTCACAGTTTTTTATTGAAAAAATTGATGAAAATGATGATTTTTGCACTGAAAGGTGTAACTAAAAGTGAAAATGCAAAAATAAAAATAAAAAATGAAAGGTGTAAACGTTTTACACAACAAACTTCAAACGTACGGACGTTTTGTGTTAATAATTTTTTTTTGAATTATTCAATGTTTACACCATGATATATATAATGTTGAAGTGACATTTTCATCACTGGCCGATAAAAAAATCACACGAGACTTTTTTTAAAATCTAAAATCCCATGCTCTCCTGCCCTGTACCCACCCGCAAGGGAAAATTAGGCATCCACCCAAACTGAAAAATCATGCACAATATCATTATTTTGAATTATCCTGATTACATTATTTTAAAATTCATTTTCAATCACACATTTTTTAATAAAATAATATTTTACATCACATCTATAACTTTTCCTTATTTTTTAACCACATATTTCCCATCATATTACTATTTAAATATATTATTTCCTCAATGATATTCATCAAACACACTCAATTGTTAATTATTATGCCATTGTTTTGTTGGAGATTAAAATTAAATTTTTAGTAAATTTTGATAAAATTAGTGAAAATGCGTGATTTAAAAGTTGTGAGTTACATGAAAAATGTGATAAAAATTAATTATTCACTTTGATTCAAATAATACGTGATTTAAATTTTCATTCCCATCAAACATGGACTAAACATTATAATACAATAAAAATCTTATTAAATATGTCTTCTGTTGATCCCAAAATCTGAACGGATGATTTGGCTAACAGATTCGATTCCACTTACGTCCATGTAGTCTTTTTCTTGCACAGTTGGACAAATCGTTAGGGCACATGGTCTTCTCTGATGGTGGGGTGAGTCGGCCACGAGCACTCCAAACGATCAAATCAGGCTATTTGAGAGTATATAATTGTGCGTGGGACGTGTTACAGACCACAAAAAGGGGGTTCGATTCCGAGAGTATACATATAACAATGAGAAAGCAAAATTATAGTTGAGAGTATAAAATTGCAACACTTTCAAATGATACTAAGTGTGAACTTTTATAATAGTAAATGAGAAATAATAATCGTTGGGTGAAGAGACACGAGAAATCATCTTAACTATTAAAGTGTCTTGTCATAGGCGTCGTTCTATCAATAATAGGCTCATGCATATTTAATGCTTTGGCTATTTGTAGCCCTAAGCCTATCTTGCAAAAACTAGACTTGACATTATAAATTAGTAGAGTGACTTCTGCATTGTTGGCTATTTGTAGTCCTAAGCCTATCTTGCAAAAACTAGACTTGACATTTTAATTCAGCAGAGTGACTGTTGCATTGAATAGTCACATCAATCAATCAAGAAAGATCTTGTACGGAATATCCATGTAGCACCTCACCTTGCTTTGTCTCTTCCATGATAGGTCAGCCTCTTCATAAGGATTCGACCCTCTTCATGGGAGTTCGAGAGATCTGTCATTTAGGCAGGGTGACGTGGAGTGTGAGCCTGAGATTCGCTCATTTCATTGTTGTCGTGTGGTCATCTTTTGGAGACTTGTTGGAAAAGGCGTAACATTTTCCCTAAATCTAGGCTCACGCAACATATCCGTGACAACTCCATAAAAAAAAGAAAAATCTTCATTTTTTTGTAATTAATTCTCAATTAAAAGTATCTTCAAACCATAACTGTTTATTCCTTCACAATTCATTAAGCCAGTGAATGAAAATCAACTAGAAAAAGGCAAATAATGATCCAGTGAAAGATTGTCCGCTATCATGCAAGTGGAGGATGATCGTCAATGTGTTCTCAGATGACGACCACATTTCGAGGGTGTTCGCACTTTAACTCGTGTGTCAAAATAATGACCATTGTTGGTTCAAATTTTTGACTATTGTTAGTCCAGCGTTACTGTTTATATATGCAATTTTAATTCAAATTTTGTTGATATAGCATGCGAGGTTTTAAGGTCACAACGAATAAGGTCGACAACAGACTCAGCGTCACAGCAAGGCGTAAATTTTCATAGTAAACTCCATATTTCACTTGCTAATTTTTCAATTTCTATAAAATTCGTAAAAACTCGTCATTTGACCCATCAAACTAAATGTTAGGTACAATACCCGGAGAACACTTGTCGTTTTAGTGACAACCTATGAAATTAACCCAAATACAAATTTTGATTATTTGAACGTTACAAGTCACGATCCTTCATTTTTTGAGAGGGTTTGAGACTAGCTACAATAAATTTAGACAGGATTAAAATTTTAAATGAATAAAATATTGCGTATACATTTTTTTGAAATAAACAAAAAATTACATAATTTCTAACATATTATGTTATGCATCTCGTTGGATAGTATATTGTCAGCTTATTTTGAAATGAAGTCTGGCCGATTGTCAATGGCCAGCCCGCCAACGGCTTGTTGAGCAGCAGGACGGCCTGGGCTGTGCTCACTAGTAGGGCTCGGATGGATTGGTTTGGGCTAAGACACGAGTCACGAGCTAGACCGACTAAGGCTAAGGCTCGTTCATTAGGATGCTTGTAGCATAAGAATAATAATAAGTTCCTATTTGAGCCACATTATTTTTTTCATTTACATTCTTCTACTCATTTTCAACCATACGTTCTTCAATAAAATAATATTTTCCATCACATCAATAATTTTTCCTTCTTTTTTAACCAAATATTCCCCATCACATTAAAAAATATATATTATTGACTAAAAAATGTGCACCAAACAGGGGCTAACAAGAAAAAGCAGGGAAAGGAGATTTGATTACTTGGAACGTAGGAAAACACGAAGGCAGATCGAGAGAGAGAAAGTCTATCCGAAAAAAGCAGTCCAGCGGTAGGAGGGTGGAGGGTAATATCAATGCGCACAAATGATTGTTGGCCCCAAATGTCTTCATCCCTTTCAATCCACGCCAATGGGAGCATTTTTTTATTCACGTATTGCTAATTGTACGAGGTGGTTTACCGTTTACACAAAGAGCTTATGTGGTAATAAACTACGTACAAGAAAGAACATTTAATTGGGACATTTTGATTCGTATAAGACCAATTATGAGGTGATTTTCACTAAGAGCAATGAAGACGTGATTTTTCGAGAAAGAAAAAGATACAATTGTGTGATTCTGCATACTGACAATAATTTTGTAGCATGTTTCGTAAGTAACTTAAAAAATTTTAAATAATAATGCTAATCATAAAAATTTAAAGGAGCAAGTTGGTCCATGACCGTAATTGATGGCCCGAGTCACATTTCACTTCAAATCTTTTAGCATTGACCTAAGTTTTTGAAAAAATTATGCTAAGTTGACAATGTGCTACGTACAAATTAATTGAATGATTAGTTGGTTAAAGGAAATGATAATGAAAGGATGGTGAATTGGTTTGTAAGCAAAAGAACTGTGTGAGTGGAGCCCTTTTTTTTTCTTTTCTTTTCAAATCAATAACAACCAAACCAAACCCAGGGCATCATCGATTATCTGTCACCTTTAATTACTACTGTGTGGTGCAGGCGCACTATGATGGCAACTCTCTTTTTTATTTTGAGCTGTATGTTGTCCCTCAATGCACGCATGTCCGTAGGAAAATAAAAATGAACATTGCTACACTTACACATCTTGATCCATACTTTGGTACACAACACTCTCACATGTGTGTGGGGTCCACAATGGGGTCCATTGTGAACCCCACATACATGTGAGAGGGTTGTATAAATGTGTACAAGTAGCATTTTTGAATAAAAATATGTGATTCAAACCACGAAGACAAATAATTCTAACTTTGGAATCAGAACATTGAACAATAGAAAAGCGAGCAAATTTGACACGAACCAAGACAATGGGAGGGATGCGATGGGGAGTAGGGACAAGAGCAAGAATGAGAGCATGTTGACTGTATATTTGCTACAAAATTAAACGATAAATGTTCATCTCGCTTAAATTTGAAAATGGGGATTGAGCTCGTTACATTTCTCATAAGTTGGGTTGTGGAGGTAATCTTTTTTCTGAAAACTAAGCAAAATATAAGTGAGAACTTGAGTGGGCAAATTGCATTTTGCCAGCGGATCATCATTATTTACCATGATTAACATGAAATTTATCCATGAAATCATTAACAACCTTTGGATTTAACCTTTTAATCATTTTAATGTAAAAATTGTTCTCAGCGGTTGTCATCAATGAAATCATGAGAATCAGTAGGACCCACCTAACCACATAGAAGAACTGGCTTTTGCATTTGGTAGTCTCAACTTCCAATCTCTTGTGTTTACACCAACTTTGTACAAAAGTAGCCCCCTGGCCTTTTTACTCCTCTACGGTTGCATACCGTACAAAACTCCTCTTTTCCGTTAAACCCTCTTTATACATGCATATAATCTTCCTATATAAACCGTCCCTCCCATTCATCTCTCTCAAACCCCTCTCTCTCATAACGTTTTAGTGAAAAGTCGATTAAAGTTAGATCGACAATGAATACAAAACGGGCGATATTAATGGCTTTTATCTGCATTGTCGTCGCCGGCGTCGGTGGTCAATCTCCCGGAGCACCGCCAACTCCAACTACACAAGCACCGCCAACTCCAACTACACAGGCGCCCCCAAGTCCAACTACACAAGCACCGCCAGCTCCAACTACACAAGCGCCGCCAAGTCCAACTACACAAGCACCTCCAAGTCCAACTACACAAGCGCCGCCAAGTCCAACTACACAAGCACCGCCAAGTCCAACCCCTGCCTCCACACCACCACCAGTAGCTACTACACCTCCACCCACATCATCTCCACCTCCAGTTGTTTCATCACCTCCTCCGGTTACTGCTCCTCCCACTCCACCTGCTTCACCTCCACCAGTTGCTACTCCGCCACCTGCTTCTCCACCTCCAGTGAATCCGCCACCCCCTGCTAGTCCTCCACCACCTGCTGCTCCCACACCTGCACCACTAGCTTCTGCGCCTGCTGCTGCTCCAACCACATCTCCTGCGGTATCCCCGTCTTTGAAGAGTCCTCCACTGACCGGATCTCCGGCGCCGAGTCTCCTGGCTCTTTCTCCTGCTCCAATATCAGCCACTGATCAGGTACACTCCCTCACTCACAACTATATTACTCATAACATGTATTCCAATGCCTACTTGCGCCGATCGTGCACTGTGCATGCTTGATCTGGGGCATTTTACGTTGTTCTTGCATTATTAACTAAAACTAATACTTCTACTTATTCTGCTTCTTTTGTATAATCTCTTTGTCATTTAACAGAGTGGAGCAGATTCGACATTGCAGAAGATGAGTGGGAGCTTTGTCTTCGGAAGTGCTTTGATCTACTTGCTATTTTAGATCTGTTTTTCTCTCCATATTTACATATATATTGCTGTATTATTATTATTATTAGTCCCTATTGTTATGGACGTTTTTACTTGTACTTGATGATACATTGATTTGGATTCTTTTGTTGGGACTTTTGTATTGAGAAGAGTTATTTTGAATGAGATTATCTTTAGCTTATGCGGTTTTCACCTCGGAGTTCTGCATCAATATATTTTTATACTTATGGATCGTTCGAAATATGTGGATAAAAATAAGTTTAAGAAACCATTGGTGCTTGAATTTAAAACCTTTTGAACTTTGGAAAAAATAAATTGCATCACGGGTCTCATTTATTGTACTAGTGACATGTTGGTCTTAAGTATTAAAAAAGAACAAATCAATCTCTAACATTTGGCTCGTGTTAGTGGGATTAAAAATTAGATTTTTTTTTTATATATATTATATATTATATATTATATATGTTTCGATCTCTGAAGAAAGTAAGAAAGATTATTACCCCTTATTTTCTATCGCCAATAGAGTCTTGACTATGGATGGTTATATTCATATCATTATTTTATAATACTCTATATTTTAATTATATTAAAGATCCTTAATCTTTAACCATTTTTATATTTATACCTCTAGCCTTTTTCTTTATATTCTTGTCTTTAGTATTTCATTAACTTAGCAAACATCGTCCTTAATCATAATTTTCGTCTAAAAATACAGTTAACATGTTTTCAAACAAAGGAGCTTAGTTTGAGGCAATGGTAGTGCAAACGTTGGGTGGGTGGCGGTGGTGGTCGACCGTTGGTGACGGTGGTTTTGGTTTTGGGTAAGGGATTGGATGGGCGTAGGGAATAAGGAGATGGGTGAGTGGTTTTTAATTTGGTTTTTGTTTTTTCGATTTAATTGTTCTAATTGCGTTTTTGTGAAAAATATGCAAAGACACTGCTTTAACATTTTAAAAATTGAACAAAATAAGTTCATTTTTCTAGGCAACTAACGGTCAATTTCATTTGTCTTCCTGGTGCGATTATTTCAAATGTTTGGGACTGTAGGTGGTTAGGGATGTAAACGAACCGGACTAAACAGGCTCGTGACCCAAGATTATGGCTCGAGTGAAGCCATGAAAAAAAAGGGCTGGGGTTTTTTATGGACCACTCGAGTCGAAGAGCCAAATTGACATCTCTATGGGTGGTACAAACTAAATATTTAGGTAAAATATGTGAAAGAAAAGGAAGGTTTGTGATTGTGGCTCCATTCTCCCTAAAAATATCGAAGGTATGTTGTGACTTCTATTGTGGAACGTGTGACCATACATCAATGATATTGAAAAGATTGTTTAATAAAAAAATTGTGAATCTGACTTATTCTATATTGTATAGTTGCGATCAATTTATATATCACGAGTTCATGTAAGATGTAACAGTTGATTGTGAAGTCCGGCCAGTGGTGGATCTAGCACCCGGCAAGTTCTGATAGTCGCCCGTGCAGCCGTGCTCCAACCGCCAATATTAATTTCTTTTAGTGTCAATGTACATATGTTTTTGTTATATATATGTGTGTGTGTAATTTCATTTGTTTTCGAATGATTTAGTAGTTCAAATGGCAGGAGCACCCGTTTAGAAAGTGAAGGTCTTGAGTTCGACTCTCACAAGATCAACCCCTTATGTTTTGGTTTGATATTTTTCATCACTATTATAAAAAGATGAACTAAGTCATGTTGCCAGAAAGAATTTGAAATCTTGGATGATCTACTCTCACATATGCATGGGCCCCGCATGGGACCCACGTGAATATAAAATATAAAAAAATCCCCCACCTAAGGTGTCAAATTCTTTCTGGCACCCTAACATGATTGTAAAAAGATTAGTTATTAGAGGTGGTGCAACAATAGAGATTCGAACATGAGCTCTCCTATGAAGTTAACAGGAGCTTAACCACTATGGCATTTATTTTATACCACAAGTTAATGTAACAAATATATATGTTCAGTTTTAACAAAGTAATTGATATATTGTCTTTTTTGTCTTAATTTTTTTTTAAAAAATAAATTAAAATTCAACCTTTTAATGACTCAGCAGTTAAACCACTGACTCCATGACCCGATAATTTGTCCAAGTCAAATATCGTATCGTATATGATAACTATCTTTGGAAGTGTGAAAGAATAACTAATAAGAAAATTAAATTGACAGCTGACACTTATTGACGCCCAAAATTTTATTTGTTTTAATCTTTTCATTAGAGACTATTTAATTGGCAAAAAAAAAAAAATTAACAATTCGGATAAGCATTGACATCAATTTTTTTTTCACACATTCAGTGACAAAATCTTAGTCATCTTTAAAAGTTTGAAATTGTCTTTTTTTTTTTTTTTGCTAGATTGAGACTATTAACAAATCGAATCAAGAAATAAGGACATGTTCTCTTTACCATTTTCAAGTTGTTTTATGTTTTCGATTTTTCAAAATAGTAAAAACGCATTCTCTTTCCTATTTTCGAAAACGCGTTTTTGAAAACAAGTTAAAAATTTACAAAGAAAACTCAAAACGACAAATTTGTAGTTTTGAATGTTTTCAGTTATAATCAAGTCAAAATTTTCAAAACTCGTTTTTGGTATTTTCAAAAAAAAAATTCAAAATGTCAAAAAGAACACATTTTTCACAATCTCAAAATGAACACTCAAAACACAAAATCCAAAATGAATTCAAAACACAAAACTGAAACACAAAGAGAACAATCCCTAAGCAATTTGACCAATTTTTCAAATTTGAAATTCTTACTTGATAAATATTACTAGATTGGTAGATTAAGTACATCTACACTTTCAATTCGAATTACGATACAAGTAATTTCAATTTACAATATTGATTTTCATTGTCGCAATTGATGGTCAACGGTCAACAATCATCCGTGCCCACTCGAAATCCTAATCCTCCACTGAGTCTGGCTACTGTCATGACATAGAATTGCGCCATATTTTTGTAACTAGTGTTCATGTATACGTAATTGGTTGTCAAATGTGACAAATTGTGACATTTAATGGGATGTTTAGCAACATATAATTGTGTCCTATGGGGGTCGTATCCTTTCCATATTGCATAGACGTGACCACGAAATTATCATCATTCGACCATGTAAATAAAAAGATAATGATATTTTTTTTTGTTGACACACGAAACAGGCAGCCCAAATCAAATGGCCCAAGAGAGGAAATAGATCCAAAGAAGAAGCCCAGATAGAGAAATCAGGATAAAAGGCCCAATCAGAAGTATAATTAAAATATGCGAAAAGCCCAAAAAGA